GGTGCTTTCGGACTAAAACGGAAAGCACTGCCTCATCGCCTTTGATAATGTCCAGCGCAGTTGTGGCCGAAACGTCAGGAAGAAATTCCCATAGACCACGGCTTCAGAGCCCGGAAAACATTCCTAAATGTGATTTAAGCGGCCGTGAAAGCCTTCATAGTGTGATAAATTTTTGTTTGTTGCAGGCGAACGCCCGTTCAAATGTGATGAAAAGGAATGCGGGAAAACGTTCACGCGGAATGAAGAGCTGACCAGACACAAGAGAATTCACTCGGGCCTCAGACCGTATCCATGCAGCCACTGTGGAAAGCGCTTCGGAAGAAAGGATCATCTGAAGAAACACTCTCGAACCCATTTTCAACCTAGAGGTTTGTACGCGGTTCCGGTCGTTTTACCCTTTGAGGCGTGGGCCTCAGGCCAGGCCAATGGATATCCATTTTTTCCTGTGATGTACTAAAAAGCCCAACGTTGGAAGAAGCTGTGCAGAAGCAGCTTCAAGATGTAAATAGTCGATTGGTTGTATAGAGAGAGATTTTTATTTACGAGAGTACCGTGCCTGTTACTTGCAATAAACACCTTCCATTACTTAATGCGTTGCTTCCTTTCTTGGCTGATGAACTGGATGATTCAAAGGAGCTCTGATTGGCTTCGGACGGTTATGGTTGGCAATGTTTTCGGACGAAAAGGTCTGATAAATTACCGGTCACGGCAACGTTTCAAACGGCAAAGTTTAAATTTCAAATGAAACTGAACCGAATGGCGCTCAATATTTTTGAAAAAAAATCGCGCCCCACTGATTTATCATTAAATAAAGTTTCTCTTTCGTTGCTGTTTAATTCCAAACAAAAGTTTTCTTGAGGTATAAAATAAAAATCGTGTTCCAAGCCGCACTTTCTTTTACTCGATAATGTTGCATTGTACGAAGAGAAATCCAGAGCGGTTTTTGTTTGCAAATTCACAAAGCACGCAAAAATCATTCTTTTATGCGATTTGACTGAAATTTTGCGTGCTCTTATAATGAAGGCTTTTCTATATCACAACTAAATTTGAAGTGGCAACTTGCTCTAGATTCGACTTTAGGACTTTTTATTGGAGCACCTGCAGTTGCGTAAAAACGTCCATTTTTAGACCCAACTTCACAAAGCACTCAAAAATCATTCTCTTATGCAATTTCACTGAAATTTCGCTAGCTCTTAGAATGAAGCCTTTTCTATACCACAACTAAATTTTAAGTGGCAACTTGTTCTAGATTCGAGTTTACGAGTTTTTGTTGGAGCACCTGCAGTTGCGTCAAAACGCTAATTTTCGGCCCCAAATTCACAAAGCACGCAAAAATCATTCCCTTATGCGATTTCACTGAAATTTCGCGTGCTCTTAGAATGGAGCCCTTTCTATATCACAACCAAATTTTAAGTGCTAACTTGCTTTAGATTCGAGTTTACGACTTTTTATTGGAGCACCCGCAGTTGCGTCAAAACGTTCATTTTCGGCCACAAATTCACAAAGCACGCAAAAATCATTCTCTTATGCAATTTAACTGAAATTTCTCGTGCTCTTAGAATGAAGCCTCTTCTATATCACAACTAAATTTTAAGTGGCAACTTGTTTTAGATTCGAGTTTACGACTTTTTGTTGGAGCACCTGCAGTTGCGTCAAAACGCTAATTTTCGGCCCCAAATTCACAAAGCACGCAAAAATCATTCTCTTATGCAATTTAACTGAAACTTCGCGTGCTCTTAGGATGGAGCCTCTTCTATATCACAACTAATTTTTACGTGGCAACTTGTTCTAGATTCGAGTTTACAACTTTTTATTGGAGCACCTGCAGTTGCGTAAAAACGTTCATTTTTGGACCCAAATTCACAAAGCACGCAAAAATCATTCTCTTATGCCACTTAACTGAAACTTCGCGTGCTCTTAGAATGAAGCCTCTTCTATATCACAACTAATTTTTAAGTACCACCTTGCTCTAGATTCGAGTTTACGATTTTTTATTTGAGCACCTGCAGTTGTGTCAAAACGTCCATTTTTAGACCCAACTTCACAAAGCACGCAAAAATCATTCTCTTAAGCAATTTAACTGAAATTTCTCGTGCTCTTAGAATGGAGCCTCTTCTATATCACAATTAAATTTTAAGTGGCAACTTGCTCTAGATTCGAGGTTACGATTTTTTATTTGAGCACCTGCAGTTGCGTCAAAACGTCCATTTTTAGACCCAACTTCACAAAGCATGCAAAAATCATTCTTTTATGGGATTTCACTGAAATTTCGCGAGCGATTAGAATGAAGCCTCTTCTATATCACAACTAAATTTTAAGTGGCAACTTGCTCTAGATTCGAGTTTACGACTTTTTATTTGATCACCTGCAGTTGCGTCAAAACGTCCATTTTTAGACCCAAATTCACAAAACACGCAAAAATCATTCTCTTACGCGATTTAACTGAAATTTTGCGTGCTCTTAGAATGAAGCCTCTTCTATACCACAACTAAATTTTAAGTGGCAACTTGTTCTAGATTCGAGTTTACGACTTTTTATTGGAGCACCTGCAGTTGCGTCAAAACGTTCATTTTCGGATCCAAATTCACAAAACACGCAAAAATCATT